CAGCTGAGGCCCGTAGGATAGGCACTCCACGTGACGACCACCGAATGTTGAAGCCAAACCTCCCTGACCACTTGAAACCCTAAACCCCGTGGAATGGCGGAACCTGTGTGGAGCCACTCGGTGCCTTTTACGGGTAGCGCTTTCAGGGTCAAAGACTGAGGGTTCTGCTGGAATGTCTTGTCCTGGTCCTCCAAGAACTGCCACCCGTTTATTGACGCAGGATACTGTCCAGATTCATGTGATAAAAAATAAATAAACAAATAAATAAATAAATAAAGATATATATATATATATATACATTTCTTTAGTTTTATTTATTCGTTTGTTTATATAGATGTATAGTATGTATACATCTATATATAATTACGTTGGACTATAGTGTATTGACCTGTATTGAACTATAAAATAACATTCTGTATAATCTCAGCAGGGTGCCTCCACTTGTGGGGTTGGAATGCAACAAGCAAGCCTCAAGCTGATCTAAGGCCTGGGAAGTGAGGACCCAGGGAAACCTTCCAGCGAAGAATGCAATGATGACCTTTAAGATTATATTTGGAGGATCATGGGACTTAGTAACTAGGGTTATAAATAAGGTAACTGTAATAACCCCAATTAGGGTACTTATAACCTTACTTACTAAGTCCCATGATCCTCCAAGCAACCTTTCAAAAAATCGTAGGATTATATTATAAGCCCCAAAAGGTTAAGGGATGCGTATTCAGCTCCTAAGTGACTAGTAGCTCCCCAACACTGGCCTGTGCTCGTCTCTCCTTTTTTCTGGGACTGGATGGTCAAGTCTATCTTGCAGCCGTGGTCAGTTGCCTTGACTGCACTGCGCCAGAAAGGACTTGATGTGTGCAGATGTGGCGCTGTAGTTTCCGACTCTTCTCCGCAGTAGTCCGCAGAAAGACAAACCGCACCCACCGGGCTTTGGGCGAGCAGGCTTGCACCTAGGTCGCGAGACTGAGCTCGACGGAAGGACCAGCAGGTCTGCAAGAAGAACTGCTGGCGAGTGAGAGTCGAGCCAACGGAAACCCTTTCGCAGAAAGTCCTGCGCGCATCGGTTTCATGTTGCACCCAAATGCGCGAGGATGGGGATGGCGGCGCAGGCCGTGCAGGCAGCGCAGTGGCAATGCAAGCGCTGCATCAGCTTTTTTGTTCGCAACATCGGCCGTGCTACCACTCGCAGCAGGCGTCATACTGGCACGTGGGCATGGAGAAATATTTGCACTTAGTTGCACGAAGAGCATGGAGGTCCGTCCATTTTATGTTGATGAGCCACCGGACATGTAAAACCTCTCAGCTCTGGTTGATGCCGCGACCCACACCTGAAGTGCGAAAGCGAGCTTGGTCACTGCTTCAGCGAAGGATTCGGTTCGGTCTTAGGTCCGCAAGTCGCCCATGGATCTCAACTCACACCCCGACACGCCTCGCCAAGGGCATCTACGCAGCACCGTCTTTTTCTGCATGTTCCCATGGGTAGCCGCCGACGGTTGTGCCCTTCCGGCGCAGATCGTCTGGAAAATCTTGGCTAAGATAACATGGTTTATTTTTTTGAAGTCAAAGCACTAACATGGCAGGCGGGCAGACGAATGGCGTGCGCCACAGTGTCCAAGCAACTGAAGGCCATTGAGGGCTGTATGCCGGCTCGCGAGAGGCCAAGAAAAGAACTCTTCGGAGGAGTGCCTAGAGGCCCCAAGCCCAGGCTGTCTCCGCTGTGTCCTCTTAGTGCTTTCTTTGACTCTGTATAAACGCCTGCTAGTGCCCTGATTTGTCAGAGTCATAATATGTACAAGTAAAACCAGGCGTAGCGAAACGGTTGCACTCTGCCTGCGCCTGCCCGCAATCGTCACGCAAGTTTCTTTTACATCATCGGTTGTCAACTTCCTCAGCTGTTGGACAAGTTTGGGCAAGCAAGGCAAAGCCAACGAGGTCACTGGACACCTCGCTGTGAGCTGTCGATGGCCCTGGACACCCCGAGCTGCGACACATGTATTTCAAGGGCGCCCCAAAGTGTCTAGGCATGCTGGCAACAGTATTGCCGACACAACTGTGTCCAAGCAATTGAAAGCCAAGGCCAGCAACGCCCGAGCGATTGGTATGCACAAGATGCTGCGCTGCACGAAGATGACCGAGGCCGTATATGCTGCACGAAGAACTGTCGATCTTAAGCAACACGGTCCTGTTATCGAGCCAGCTTATTCAAGACACTCTGGCCTAACACGGTTTTTACCGACTGGAGATCTCAATCCAATGTCCGGAGTGCCTGGGAGGCATTGAAAGTCCATCTGAAGGTCCTGGGCTGCCTGCACTGCCGAATCTTGTGCCGGCCCGACACGGCATGCCTGGCAATCTCGGCTTGTGGCATTCCTAGACCCTCCATCTACCGTCCATCAGACCCTAAATACCCTTAATATGGGACCATATACCCCTATTTGAGGGTACTTGGAGGGTCCTGGTTCACACCCCTAAACAGTGGACGGGGTCCAGTTTGCACAAACAAAACGGCCCGCAGGTGACAGCATGTGGGTAGTTGTCAAACTTAGGGTCCCTTTTGGGGTATCCTAAATAATAGGTGCCGCATTGTAATAAGGACCCAAAAAGGGACCATATTTTTGACAACCACCCATGTGTAGCTCCAACCTATCACGGCAGGCAGATTTAGCTACTTGTCATGGCACTCGCGGCGCAATTGCTTTTGGAAAACCTTTCGTTTCACAATGACAACAGCTGGCGGAAACTCTTTCGTTTCAGAATCATAAGAAGCAACTTGCACAAGAGTCAGTCCCTTTAGAGCAGGCAGCACAGAAAGCAAGTGGTCTTTCTGCGCTTAAGGTGCGCAGGGAAGCTCCTGCTTCAAGGTCTTTGGCCTGGCATCGCTTGGTTCTGGACACCTCCATCTTTTGGTGTAGGTCGACAGGGTTTAGGGAGTTTAAGGTGTAGGGTGGCACAGCTTGGGAAGCCGCAGAGTGGAGATGGAGTCGAGGAGATTGTCAGCTCCGACAGCCACGATTAATACCACCTGCAGTGAGTGTTTAGGGTTTAGGGTTTATAGGGTTTTGGGTTTAGGGTTTAGGGCTTAGGATGATCATCGGGGCACGGACAATCTGTGCAACCACCTGCCCACCCCACATACCCCACCCCACAGAGCAGCTCCCGGGTTGCAAACCTGAATATGCATGGAGAAGTCCACCAGAAACCTTCGCCGGGCTTTCAGCCACTGGCAACCATGCCGGCGCCTGGCACCAAGTCTTTGAGCAATGTCAGGGATCCAGAAAGCATGTTGCAGCCACGTGTGCGGACCGCTTGGCGGTGGACACGGAGCTCAAGAACCTGGATGGTCTCTTAGTCAACCTCACATACTGGGACCGCATACCTCAGCATCAAAGCAAGGCGTCTTGGCAGAACCTGATGACATTTGAATCAGGCACGTCTGGGTGATATGCGTACCATACACAGCAGCATTTGCCGACATGCCGCAAGAACTGTGCACTTCGCGGCGTCTTGCCTAGATGCATCAGCCATGCGGGCATCTGGCGAGTGTCATCCGCGACCACCACGTGACGCGACCGAAGCTACAAATCTTCGATTGCATTCATTGCAAGCAGGAGACGAGAACGTGAGCAGGCGTACGGGACGCGACGGCCTGGGTTCGCCCGAAAGTGGCGTGAGCCACTGCTCTGGCTAATCTCGTGCGATGAACTTGCGAGACTGAAACTAGTTCATAGATGTCGCAGACTAGGCTTCATCTTCAGTGTCAGCGTGTGGCCGCATCTTGCTCTTATGGCTTTTGTTCAAGCTCCCCAGGAACTGACCCAGGGCGAAGCAGGATGACCCGACCTCGTGCAGCAACCCAGCCACATGGGAAGCCTGTTAATCCGAAGTCAGCTGGAGAAGAATTGATTGAATTGGCCTCCTCCGCTGGATGAGCATGCGTTGCAAGGCCTGTCCACAGCGACGACTCAGTATCAATGCCCAAACAGGGCTGCAACATGCGAGGCTCAGGCATTGCATGGAATTGGTCTGTTCGTATATGTTCGCATACCAACAAAGTGCTCAAGTTCTGTTCCGTCGACAAACCGACTCGACGCTTGGCCACGGGTTGTCACCAAAGTTGCGTACTTCGGCGACATGAGCAGAGTCTGCGAAAACGGCCGGCCCGAAAGCTTCGGAAGATGAGCTGCAGTTCATTCGAAGCTTCGTTTGTGCGCAGACGCAGAAAAGGCTGCAGCTTGAACATGCATGGTGGTGGCATCACCAACAGCACCCAGCACACAATGCATCTGACCTGCGCGTCGCGCAGACCTCCGCAAGTATCGCGAGAGGCAGGCGCAGAACAAACGACCGTCACAAGCGTGGTGGGCAGGACGGCTACCATGATCCTCCAAGTACATCCGGTTGCAAACTGAAGAGACGGTCCATGTCCAAGGACAAGCGAGGGGAGGCTGCACAGCTGACAGAGCTGGACCGTCGGATGCAAGAGAAACGCTGGTGCTGCTGAGTTCGGCGCGACACGAAGACTGCTCGAAAACCCAAAACCCTAAACCCTACATCCTACACCCTAAACCCTAAACCCCTAAAAATGAAACGGAAGCGCCCCGAGATTTCAACGAAACTGCTTTAGGAGATGCTGCTGAGCCTGATGAGCCGGTCCGGTGGCTGCATGCAACCCCTTTTTTTAACGACTGCGACGAGGCTTCAACAGGCTTCACCGGGGACGGTTTAGGGTTTAGGGTTTAGGGTTTAGGAAACCTGGCCGCTGCAGGTGATGCACGCAAAGCTCACGCCGATCTGACCCGGTCTGGAACACGGCGATTCAGTGAAACAAGGGACCGTGATCACCTTAGGCCGGATACGCACCAGTGCGTGCGTGTGGGTGGAGACCCTGCTCACGAAGCAACACAGGTAAGTCCTGCACGCATGCTACTTTTTGGCGGAAACCATGTCAGCAGTGCGCGTTGCCCGAGCAATGCGTTCTCTAACAATTCGCGAGGAGTTTGATGCTACCTTATGTCTATGGTACATGGTGGTCACCGGCAGGTTCACGCCAAATCAATTTTCTGCGCAGCTCAGAAACGAAGCTTTCCATTGTGGCCATGGTTGACCAACAGTGGCCTGATGTGTGGCATGTCGTGCCCCAAGAAGCCAGTAGCGGTCCAGAGTTCTGCAGTGCTCACTTTGGTATAGCTACCGCTGAGAGAAGATGTCTGGCGCCGACACCTCCGCCTGCACTTGCGCATGGAACGCTTGGATGCGCCAAGCAAGAGGCTGAGGTTCCAGCTCACCGAAACATCTCGCGGAGGCATCGGGCGAATCACCTCTGCACCCGACAATATGCGCGTCGTGCTTGTGGCACGGCGGCGAGCGCACTGAGAAAGAAGTTTACCCGAAAGCTGCCGACTGTGACTCAGTGCTTTGGTCCACGCAACCTTGCGAAGTCAGCGAACTGAGCGAAGTGGTGCCCTGAAGTTGTTACGATTTGGGCAGCACGGCCCTTCACCAAAGGCGCATCTGCAAGGGTGGTGTGCACCGATCGCAAAGAAACCTCCGGATGCCACTTGGCTGTCAAGACACTGCATGAAGGCTGCATGGCAGCACCAGTTTCAACAAACACTTGACATCGATCTCAGCGTCCCTATAACCCTAAACCCTAAACCCCCAAGTGCACTGGACGCTGCGAGGCCGCGTTAACTGGGTGGACTCTGTGGATCATTTCATCCAGCTGAAACATGGGGCCGTCAGTGACCGCTGCAAGTCTTACACACCCACCAGAATTCGGATGAGATTGGGCTGATTTGGGGGTAGTTCAAAAGGTCGAGTCTTAAGGCCCCAACAGCCCCTCAGCTATCCGGAATCTTCCCACAAAGCAGAGTTCAGACCCAACCTCGGTCCACGGAGTCCTTTGTCCGAAAACCAAGTCCCCGGAAACAGACCGCCGTGTTCTGAACAGAGCTCAGGCCCAGGCCACCTGTGCTGCTCGAGTTACTGCACAAACTGCGTGGTTGCGACGATAGAGGGGGCCGAAGCAGGGAGATCTTCCACTTCCTCCTGGCACCAGACTAGATAAGATTCTGTAGACCAAGAGCTGCTTAACAGTGTCTCCAAGCCAGAGTTTCAGCGGCTCTGAGCCGCTAACATGAAGGCGAACACTCTGAATCGGTGCGAGTCTTCCGGCTAGGGTCTCACTGGACCAAGCACGAGGTCCGAACAAGGCGAGGTGCGAACCGGAGAACAGGCCGCTGCGCTGTCGAGGTCCCTACAAGCCTTGCCGGCCTTGCCGGCCTTGCCTGCACTTTACGAGCCATGCTGCAGCTGCGGGGTGCTGGATCTGTTGAACAGCCTGGGGCTGCTCTTATCTCGGGCCCGAGAAGACTTGTCCAGAATGGACCAAGAATGTCCCCTGTAAAACCTGTTGGTTGAGTGGACAATCTTATGGACTCCCCGAAACCACGCTGGAGCGGCGCCAAAGCGTGCGCAGGAGCTCGCACGGCCCCATCAAAAAACTTGATGCACAGTCTGGAAACGTACGTACCTCAAGTGCCGGGCTCTGCCTCTGTCTTGAATGCCGAAGGGATGTGAGCGGGTTCAGGGAGAGCACGAAGGTCAAATGTGGCGGTCAGTATCATGTGCGAAAGGCACAAGATCATTCCTGAAGATTTTGTCATGACCTCCACCTGAAGGTTCTGTGCTGGGATGCTTGACACGATTCGCGTGTCCTTCCCGACGCAGACGGCATGCTGAGCGCAACCCAACAAGAGTTTTCAGCTATACGGCTACATAGTATAGTAATGTAGTAGAGATACCATGTCAATACCGCGTAGTATAACACAGTCATGGAAGGTTCGTGCATTGACCATGCTATATGGTTGAGGGCACTTCTGCTCCGAATGCGCAACTCTCTACATGTCTGCAATCTAGACTTTGCTTCCTGGGAATTCGAGACAAAAAAGGATCTCAGCACGTAGTGCGGTGCGCAACAGAGCGCTCGTTTTCCCGTCTGCGCCACATCCCAAGTCGCGGCAAAAACTCTGCAAGAGCGTTTGCCAAGCAGGCACTCCGACGCTTTGCCAGCAGATTGGAGGCTTCGGAACTTCACAGTTTCGGATCTTGGCGTCAGACTGCAAAGTGTTAGGTTGCGACAGAATAACATTCATAATTAATGGCTATCATAACACTGACGATAATGAAAATACAATGTTCATACATACGGTTATATAACACTGACAATTATAATATCGGTACGAGTTTTGGGGCTTGAGTGCTGGTTCTGCGTCGCGGCTGATTTCGCGAAAGCAGCGCTGCGCAACTGCAATATCGCCATCATGGCGAAACGAGACTGTGCCAGAGCAAGCATATGGCACCAAGGAGAGCTAGTCCTCGCAGCTTCGCTGCTAGTTGAGTGGTTCCTGACCCCAAGCCCTATAACCCTGAACCCTAAACCCTAAAACTCAAACTTCCGAAGTTCCTAGAGACTAGATGTGGCTCAGAGACAGACTGGGCCATGAAAGAGCCCACGCAACCTGCCAGGGCTGCCATGGGGGATCCCAACTGCAAACCGCTATTCTGAGGCCCCATGCACCCAGAAGGCACAATACCCCTGAAATAGGGAATATACCTTAAATTATAGATGACTTCAGGTAATTGTCTTAATTTAAGGGGGTAATGGTATTGGGCTCGCTGGGCATACCTGGAAGACTTAAAAAAGGACCTCGATTGAGACAGCTTGGACCATACCAACTTCATTCTAGTGTCAACAGGGCAGCTAACGAAGAGATGGCTCAAAGTTCGAAGGGAGGCTTAAGGCTTAGGGGGTTCCGGGCAACTTTGCGCCATGAGGGTTTGCAAGTCGAAGCACGAGGTTCAGCGATGTACACGGTGTGATCAGAGATGTGGGTGATTGTCAAAATTAGGGTCCCTTTTTGGGTACCCTAAATATAAGGTGCCGTATTATATTACGGACCCAAAAAGGGACCATAATTTTGACAAAAACCCATGTATCACAGTGTTCTATCCGGCTGTACTCTAGCTACTAAAGGAACCCTGACCCTCGATAAAGCCCATACGCCAAAAACCTCTTTCGGTAACTTCAATGCACCGAGGCTTCGCCTCTTTTCTCCACCTTGAGGATGTCTTAAGGTTCAGGGTTCGGGGTGTGGGGAGGGGGCGGGGATCATGAAGATGCGGATGCTGCTGAAGATGATGGTGATGGTGATGGTGATGGTGATGGTGATGGTGATGGTGGTGAAGATGATGGTGATGATGATGACGGTGCTGATGATACTCAAGACGAAAATGATGATGCTGTTGTTGGGCATGATGCAGGTGGTGGTGACTGTGAAGATGCTTCTGATGCTGAAGGCGGCAAAACTGTGAGTTTGTTGATGGTTGCCATACAAAAAGATGTGACGCTTGGAGGCTTCATTACCATTGCGGGAACGATCACATCGTGGTCGAACACCAACGGCATTCATAGCAAGAGCAACGGTACACAGTCTCTTTTTGGTGCCGCGGCATGTTAGTATAGCAGACGAAGCACATGCTTCCCCGTTGTGAGAGCTTCCCCGCTCACCCTAAATCTTAAACAGCGACACCCCCAAAAATACAGATTCCATACACTAGATTCATTTTGTGCTACAGCATAAAACCAAAGACCCTTTTAGAATCTACTCTCCCGCACTCCGCCCCCCCTCCACCAGAGGGAGGACAAACAATCCTACTCCCTCCTACTTGGAGGATCATGGGACTTAGTAACTAGGGTTATGAATAAGGCAACTATAATTATAACCCCGATTATCGTACTTATAACCTTACTTACTAAGTCCCATGATCTTCCAAGTACGAGTGATAAACCTTGTACCTCCGAGAAAGCGCCTCACGGTGGCAGCGACCACGTCGCCGCCGAGGCGCAGAGCGAGGCTAGGGAGAGGCTGCCGCAAACCACGCTGGGGGGGACAGCCGCCTGCAATTTCGAGGTTTTGGGGGTCTTGAAGGAACCCAACGTCTGGGTGTTTATAGGGTTTACAGGGCTTGTAGGTTGTATGGGCTCTTTGGGCTTAGGGTATCAGGCTTCCGCAAAGGTTCTATAAGGGTTCTCCTCAAGGGTCCCAATCCAAATAATGGATTTGGCATTTAGGGCTTAGGGCCTAAACCCTAAACCCTAGTTTAGGGTTCAGGGGGGTTTGCGAAACTACTCTTCAACCATGCAGGTTGATTCGGGGGTTTTAGGTTGAGGATCCTCGGATTTGGGGCTTTCTCCTGCATGTGTGAGAGCAGTGGTACACATGATCAAGGTATCGGGTGTCAGGGTTCGAAATACATAGTATAGGATGGCATGTGTGTGTAGGACAAACCTGCTATTCGCATCTGATTAAGTTAAGGAGGTGTAAGGCTGTGGAATAGTAATAGTAGAGTCATCCGGGACGCAGGAACCTTACACTCTGAACCCTGAACTTTACGTCCTAAAGTCGAAGTCCTAAACTACTGCTTTAGATCAGTTTGCCTGCGATCAGAGATGTATGGAGGTGTGCCTCATTCGAGCTATTGACGGATAAAGCCGCCAGAACATGCTTCCTTTCAAAAAGCAGATCCTGATAGGGGCCAACCCGCCAAAATTGACTGCAGCTGAGATAATATCGAGGCCTTAATAATTAGAATAGGGTTTGGCGTATATCATACTATAATTATAATAAGGAGCCCCCCAAAGCCCTTTTCTAAGTATGAAGCCCCCTACATGAAGTGCTCGGGGTCAGACTTTGTGATTTAGGGTTTAGGGTGGGTCTTTGGACATTTGGCATATAGTTGTGGTGATGGGTTTTAGGATTTAGGATTTACGGGACATATGGCATATAGAATTCTAAACATCGGGTTTAAGATGTCTGCGTCGTTTCGGTTTCGATCCGCATCGAGCTGCGGATCGGACTTCATTGCGCCCATAGAAAACTATTGAATCTTAAGCCAGAGCCCAGCCTAAAGCCTGAAGCTGCTAAGGGCTGGCACTGATTTGCAGATTGAGCTTCCGAATCGGATTGCTGCGATTGGAAGAGCACTTCCATTCAGCCCCGTCGTAAAAGCTTCCAGCATTCACTTTCTCGATGAGGTTAGTGATGCCGACGCAGCAGATCAGCTGACCAATGAAAAAACAGTATGCCTGGCAGACGTACGGCACTGTCAGTCATTCTTGGAGGTCACCAAAGGGTGACCGTTCTCGGGCAACGATTCAGCAGGAGAGATCCTTTGTCCACCTTTCCGAGAAACTTGGGGCCTAAAACCCCAGTCTAACTATTAGGCCCCTAAACCCTAAACTCGTATAGTAGCCCTTGTAGAACCTTTCCTTTAAAGCAACCCCAGAACCCCGTTCTAACTCTTAGGCCCCCCTTGTTACAGCCGGCAAAGCACTCTTGGAGCTTTGCTCAAGCGAGCGCTGTGACTGAGGATGCTGTTCGCCTGACTT